TTTTTGGATTTTTTGAGGATTTTTTTGCTTTTTTTGGATTTTTGGGGAAGTTTTTTGGGGGTTTTTTTTGGATTTTTTTTGGGGGGGATTTTTTTGGTTTTTTTCTAAGATTTTGGAGGTGTTTTGGGGGATTTTTAGGATTTTGGAGAATTTTTTGGGGAGGTTTTGGGGTTTCTTTTTCAGGATTTCTTGGGCTGTTTTTTTGGGAGGTTTTTGGGGGGTTCTTTTAGAATTTTTTTGGGGTTTGGTTTTTTTTTTGGATTTTTTTGGGGGGGTTTTTTTTGGTTTTTTTCTAAGATTTTGGAGGTGTTTTGGGGGATTTTTAGGATTTTGGAGAATTTTTTGGGATTGGTTTGGGGTTTTTTTTGGGTTTTTTTTGGGGTTTTTTGTTGCTTTGACCCCCGAGTGACCTTTGACCCCGAGTGACCTTTGACCCCCCCACGTGACCTTTGACCCCCCCAGCTGCCCCGTCCTGCTGGTGGTCGGTGACTCCGCCCCCCACGAGGACGCCGTGGTGAGTGGGAAGGGGCGGGGCCTGGCGGGAGGGGGCGTGGACGCTGGGGCGGGGCCGGGTCGGTCTGACCCCGCCCCCTTGCCCGGCCCCGCCCCCAAGGTGGAGTGCAACGCCAAGCTGGACCCGACGCAGACGTCGTTCCTGAAGGTGACCTTTGACCCCGCGGTGACCCCGCGGTGACCCCCGACCCCCGCGTGACCCCCGACCCCCGCGTGACCCCCAGCTGACCAATCAGAGGCCGCTTCCCTTGCAGATGGCCGACGGGGGCGGGCAGCCGCAGATCGCCCAGGTGAGGGGGGGCGGGGAGGCGTGGTCAGGGGGCGTGGCTGGAGCTCAGGGGGGCGTGGCCAGCTCTCACCACGCCCCCTCCCCCCCAGCCCGGCCGGCTGACCGAGGCCATCAAGTACTTCCTGCAGGGCATGGGCTACAGTGAGTGACCACCGCTCATTAATATGCATTAGGGGTCATTAATATGCATGAGGGATCGTGAATATGCATGAGGACTTGGAATATATGCACGAGGGGTCATTAATATGCATGAGAGGTCATTAATATGCATGAGGACTTGGTATATATGCATGAGGGCTCAGTAATATGCAAGGGGGTCATTAATATGCATGAGGGATCG